CGCCTGCCTCGGCCACGGCCTCTGCTGTAGCCGCGCCCGCGCCCCCTGCTGTAGCTGCGCCCACGTCCTCTGTACGCCATGTTTGCCGAGGAGTTGAAGACAGCATCGACGCCGTCGCCCAGCATCTCCACCCGCTGATCGAATGCCGCAATCTGGGTGAAGAGATCGTCAACTGAGATCCTAGCCTTGACTGCACCGATGGCCGCCACAACAGCGTCATAGTCCCTATCGAGACCAGAAAGCACGTAGTCGACCATCTCAGGATCAGAGACAAGGTGACCCGCCGCGGCGAGTTCATCCGCCAAGTTCTTCATCTTGGCGATGTAGGAGGTGCTCGACATGGAGCCCTTCTTGGTGTTGGTGATGGCAATCCGCAGGTTTGTGATGCGGGATTGGGACTACAAGGCAAAAATAGTAGTGATAGCAGTCCAAAGATCGAAAGTTGTCTCCTTACTCGTGACTTGGGCGAGAATCTCTTTTGGCAGAGAATTCAGGACATGGCTCAGGACCTGCTGGTCCTTCGAGATCCATTGTGCATACAAAGGGTTTGGCACCTCTGCCATGGTTTTGTCCGCCTGCTGTTGCTGCACTGTCTTCGGTGGCGCAACGTCGGATCCATCCAGGAGGCCGGTGACTTGCGCTCCTCGCAGTCCCGGCATGACCTGGGTCCTCCATAGGATGTAGTTGGTTCTGGTGAGTTTTTCGGCTGGTGGAGCACCAAGGTTGATGACGATGGTGGCCGAGGAGGACATGGTGATGTGGTGATTGCGATCTGGTGATGGTGGTGGCGATCGAGAGAAAGGCTTTTCTGGCTAGCTAGATGGGAAGAGGTTGGCTCTGTATACCATGTCAGGAAGCGTTTCTACTCCCTCGTAAGGGAGCCGTGTGGAGTTATATTGATCAGGGCGCAAGGCCAAGCTTGGAGTACAAGTTGAGGATCTACCGATCCCTTGGATTCGGTAGTTTGGATATGCTATGGGAAAGAATAGAGAGAGAGGGGTTTAGTTGAGATTACAACATGTATTCTACACAAACTCTAATAGCTGGAACCGGTGTGCGCCTGTGCTACCATAGCTTTGCACCCCGCGACGGCAAAAAGGTACAACCAGCATCGGCCCGTGCTACAACCGTCGCCGGCAGAAGCTACAATGGGGCATGGCGGAGCTGCAAACCTGCGGCGACTCATGTCATGGCGGCAACGCAAAAAGCTACAACCAGCATCGACACGTGCTGCAACCGTCGTCAGTGGAAGCTACAACCAGCCATGGTGAGCCGCGACATCGCGCGACAACACTGGAGATGTTGTAGCGGTGGGGAAACCTCCGGAGCTCCTAGTGGTGACCACGACCAGGCGGATGCTGCAACTAGCGACGCCACAAGCTGGAACCAGCACTCGCCGTTGGTGCAATCGGTCACGACGATGACTACGGCAGGAGCAGCGACTAGCGAGGTTGTTGCAACCGGCGGGCTGTTTTGCTGGAACCGACGGCGAGATTTGCTGCATGGATGGCAGACACACGAGGGCACGGGCGTTCCAACCATCGAGCCGGCAAGCGGCGATAGCGAACCAGCAAGAGGCGCCCTGGAGCTAGAGGGGGAGGCTGCGGGAGGGGCAACGAGGAAGCAGCAAAGCAGGGGATGCGCAAACCGGTGTCGCCCGCGAGCAAGAAATAGGAGGACGCACGCGAGGCTTTTAGATGCCAAATCTTGTGGTCCAGGGTGCATGTAACGAGCGGCTGCGCGGTGACCGGCCGAATCGTCCGGTCAACCGGCGCCTAGCACTGCCCTAGAATTTATGTCCACCTTAGTGTATTAAAAAGTAAAGTAGTACAAATTAGGGTTTCGGTACGTGAACTCACAAACTCTGCATCAGCCATGTCTCTCACGTCAAGTTCTTTGTATGTCTGCTCTCCATGGGCAGGACACACACGAGATGTTCTGCTGAAGAAGATGATCGTGGGCGTCGACAACGCGGGGTGTCCCGTGTGCTCCGAGCCTCTCAAGACGGCCGACCACCTGATCTTTGGATGTCTGTTCACCGTTGCCTTCTGGACCGCCTGGAGAGTGCCTATTGATGGTGCTCTGGTCAGTGCTAGGGTTAGCCTCCCGGACGCTCGCGGGAGCATCGCAGGAGGAGGAGGGGGATCTTTTGGCTTGGAATTCAACAGTGGTCCCATGCAATGTCTCCCTGCCTCATTTTGCAATGTCTTGCTCAAGTCAAGCTAGCTCCTGATTGTTAGAAGTATAATTATGTTTAAGTTAGAGATTAGGAGTTAGTGATAGAATAGGGTTAAATTGTGTACAACTTGCCCTCTACTCTAAGTCTCTCTCTCATATTGTACTACTATATATACCCCTACGAGGGTCAGATCAATACAACAACACAAATATTCAGCCATCTCATATTTTCCACATGGTATTAGAGTGGTTTGTCCAACGACGCCAATCCTAGGACCTTCCACCACTTCCGCAGCACGCCGCCCCCGGGGAGATTAATCTCCTCTCCCCGTAGGCGCGGCACCTGATCAATCAAAGATTGAATCGGTTCCATAGATTAGATATTTTTAATTTCCAAATTTCGTAGTAGATTGATTTTTCTTAGCCACCAAATAAACTAACGATCTTCAAATCCGGTGATAATCAATGCGAGATCCATCGTCGTGCGCCTCTAGCGGATCTACATCGACACACGGCCGGCCGGCGGCACTCTGATCAGCCATAGCCATCTTCTCCAATAAAGACGCGTCGCCCTGATCACGGGAGGGTGATACTCGGCTCCCTGCGATCAGATGTACGTCGACAGCAAACGCGTGGCTGCACGGCACGTTCGGAGCGGTGGCCAGATCCAATCCGATCTCTGCCCGGCTGATACGCACGCAAAACTCGAAGCAACCAGCAGCCCTGGTATGTGCATGCACTCTCATGAAACTTTGGTCATGTCTACGCGTACCCGTCTACAGACGCACGAAGCCACGAATTTGGGAGCACCCACGGCTTCGATTGATCGGATCTCCGATCTCGGCCGTGCCTCCGGTCCATCGTACATGGATGGTCTCTATATCGACTTCTTCTGTTTTGAGACTACACCAACAACGATCTGCAACGCGCCGGCAAACTGCACCGAGCGATCCCGATCTGCATCGACTACACTGCACGCGCACGGACGCAATCTTCACAAGGCTGACTCCATCAGCCACCTGCGCGCCGACATGGCATCTACATCAAGCCGAACAACTACACCGACTGATCTACACTGCATCAAGGTAAACTGCACCAGGCCGAACCACGACACCAAGCTGACTACGAGTCAAGGTCATCATCGAGATACACAAGAAGCGACATCTGCATCCTCCACACGCCAGGCCGGTGTGAAACGAGATGCAATCTTCATCGACTTCTTCGGCACGACACGGCATCGACACTTCGTCGCCGTGAGGGACGCCTTCAAGCGACACATTACCGTCGACACGCCGCTGCAACGCCATCGCCGATACTTCATCGGCAAGGTCTTCATCAACATGGTCTTCACCAGCATCTTCGTCAACACACCGCCGCTGTCTTGTCCACAAGATGGACACCTAGCGTCCTCTGACAGACTTTTTTGCAAGACACGACCACGACGACGGCATAGTCCGCGTCATCCACGACGGCACGACTGCATCGACACGTCGTCACTACAGTGACAACCCTACACGGCCACATGGTTCTGGCAAAACTGATGTGTGCACGATGGGTTTCCTCCGGTCTTGGCAAAACCGGTGGACTCATTGCCGACGGCACCCTTTGACATACGCAAGGTGCATTGTCCACGTCTGCAGCTCCGTCATTGCGCATTTTTTGTGCCTCCGGCTTTGTGCGGCTTCATCATCGACGACGACTACACCATCGACCACGGCTACATCACCATGATCGGCTACCTCGACATCGACATTAATGGCTTGGTCTACAACAACACATCAGCAACAACTCCAGTCAACAGCGTCCGCGTCGTCACCAGCGTCCACGCCACTCTCGCTGTGACCGCGGGAGGGAATAGAGGAGAGTCAAGGGAGGCACCAGAAGGGGACGCAGTCACCGCCCTAGGTGCCAACCCATCAGAGACGTAGTTGATGATGACGCAACGGAGAAGACGAGGAAGCGCAAGACTTCAAATTCAGTCGTAATCGTCCGCTTCACTCCCGCTACGACTGAGGGGGAATGTTAAAAGTATAATTATGTTTAAGTTAGAGATTAGGAGTTAGAGATAGAATATGGTTAAATTGTGTACGACTTGCCCTCTACTCCAAGTCTCTCTCCCTCATATTGTACTACTATATATACCCCTATGAGGGTCAGATCAATACAACAACACAAATATTCAGCCATCTCATATTTTTCACACTGATGTCCACTTGCCGATCTCCTAGGTGCTAAGAGTGGAGGGTGCGTTGATCTAGTTTCGTTTCGAGTTTTGTCATGCTCCGAGGTGTCGTATACTGTTGTGACGTGGCCTGTGTGCTTTGTGTTCTATATCTTCACCATTCATGGCTTGAGTTTGGGCAAGGCGAGTAGTGTGTTGATATTGTGGTGGTGGGTGTGGTTGCTAACCTTTTGGTGTAGCATTGTGCCGAAAGGCATTGTATCGGCCATCTTGACTCCTATGAATATATGATACACATATTTGTGTGTATTCTAAAAAAAGTGCATAGACCTATTTCGGCAAATGCAGCGTGCTTCTGGCATTATTTTTACATTCCACGTAAAACGTAAACGCCAGAACATAAAACCAGCTGAAATGTGAAACATTAAACGTAAAATCCCTGGAACATAAAATCTGCCCGGGGCATAAAATCCAGCTCAGTGCATCAGGATTAACCATAAACACCCCACTCGTCGCAGCCGTTCACAGGTTGTTACCCAGCGAACATATAATATCGTGAACAAGCCAAAACAGGTGAAAAAGCCATTCTATATGTAGAAGAATGCGGAGTTCGTTCGACAAGATTTGAGAGCAACATGTCTTATCTCGGTACAAGCTCCGTGAGCGAAACCTCGTTTGGTGAAACCACCGCCGGCCTGCCACGGCCTTGCGAGGCGCCGTGTCGTGGTTCCGGCCCGGCGGTACATGCCCGGATGCAGAAAGCCGGCTTGGACGGGGCCTGAAGCGAGACGGTGTCGCTGTTAAGGATCGCATTCGCCCGTGACATCGTAGGCCTGTCCGCAGGGCTCTCCTGAACGCACATCAGTCCGATGTGCACGTACGTGAGTATCTCCTCTTCGGGAACACTGCTTCTGCTTGCAAGGGACGGGTCAGCTATCTCCAAGATCGTTCCGCTGGTCCAGTGTTCCCATATCTGCACCAGAAAGGGGTTCAAGTGAGTGTTACTGTCGCAAGGGATTTACAGTAGATAAGTAGTACGTACAGTACTATTCAGCTCGGGTTTCCTTCCTGCTTACAAGACTTAAGAGGTCAACGGATTGCTCGGAGTTGTAAGATCCACAGTTTCTTCTTCCTGTTATGATCTCTAAAACCAGAATTCCGAAGCTGAACACGTCTGATTTTGTCGAATAGTGCCCGCGAACAACATATTCAGGTGCCATGTATCCGCTGCAACAAGAGATATGATTACTAATTAGTGGTCTGAAAATATAATATGGTACTAGTAGTATTACTTATTCCTGCAGTCCATGGTGTTTTTTTTATATCAGAGCATAGTTGACTTCACTTACAACGTCCCAACAACTCTGTTTGTGACATCCTTTGATTGATCCCCTTCAAACAACCTCGCCAAACCGAAGTCTGAAATCTTTGGATTCAAATCTGAGTCTAACAGAACATTGCTTGCTTTGAGGTCTCTGTGGATTATTTTCAACTGAGAATCTTCATGAACGTATTGCAAACCTCTGGCAATCCCATTTATTATCTTGAACCTCTTCCCCCAATCAAGATGCTTGCTCCTCTCAGGATCTATTACGTGAACAAGAAACAGCGACAGAGAGGTTAGTTTTAGTGCCATATATGCTCTCCCATGTTACTTCTTTTTTTTCTTCTGACGAAAGGTAGCCAATATATTAAGTGGAGTGAAGAATAAATAGAGTACAAGTGGTGGCTACAGGGATCATCTTACAAACTACAGCTCAGATTTAAAGATAGTGATGCAATATTCTGAGTATTTACCAAAGAGGATCGTGTCAAGGCTTCTATTGGGCATGTATTCGTAGATAACGAGCTTCTCGTGTTCTTCCAAACAAACGCCGATAAGCCTCACAAGGTTTTTGTGCTGAAGCTTAGCAACCAATACCAGCTCAGTTTTTAGCTCTGCTATTCCTTGTGCTGAACCTTGTGAGAGTCTCTTCACTGCTATCTCTTGGCCATCAGCAAGGGATCCCTGTAGATTTAGCAGGTATAAGTACTTGACGAAAAACATTACTCCCTCCAATCTATAATATCTGCCGTTGATTTACTACAAATTTGTACTAAATAAACGGGAATTATTATGGATTGGACGGAGTACTGATTAGTGATTAGAGGAGTAGAGATGGTGGTAAAATTTGAAGAAATTGGACTGGTATGATTTTTGAAGTGGATAGTTTTTTTGTGTGTGGGCATACTATAATTGGTACTCACTCCGTCGTTTTTGACACCCATAATATAAGAACGTTTTTGACACTACACTCTAGTGTCAAAAACGTTCATATATTATGGGACGGAGGGAGTACCTTGTAAACGGCACCAAACCCTCCTTCACCAAGCTTATTTCCTTCTGAAAAGTTCTCTGTTGCAACTTCCAGTGCTGACAAATCTAGCATGGGTAAATTGATGTTTGGAACGCTTTCCCAGTTTCCAGAATCTGTCGAAATAAAAAGTATGAAATCCGTTGAACAAACTCCATTTCAGAAGACATTTGATTGTATGCAATTGTAATTGTTTAGCTAATTATCCTATATTTCTACAGCTGGCAGTTTGACATTTGAATCATCTCTGACCTCTTTTTCATATAATTTGACAGTTTTTTTGCAAGAGTTAAATATACCTATTTTCCATGTTTTGGCTGTGCAGTAGGGCAAAGCACCACTGCAATTTTTCTTTTTTTATCAAGTCCAGAGAAGGGCATAAAATGAATAAGAAGTTGTACAATTCAGCTTTAGATGAAAGTAAATAAAAAAACTAAGCTTACATGGTCTTCCTGGCCAATCTTTTACAGAAAATTAAGCAATTGTTCTTCTTTAAGGTCTGCATATATGGGGAATAGCTTACATGGTTGTGACGGTAATTCTTGTTGTCTTCTCCTTCTCCTTACACAAAAGCAAACTATAGTGAAAGTCAATGCTGCAGAAACAACGGCCAGTGCAACTGCTAGGGCCAGTAGGATGGTACTTGGTTTATTTCTTCTCCCTCCTGTAAAATGACACTACAGTTAAAGCACTTGATAACATGAAATGTATATATGGATCATAGCAATGAGAAAAGCAGGAACCAAAAAATTCACAAGAATTAAACGAGAACACAAGTGCAAAACACATAAAAACTCCATGAATGGTCACTCGGATAAAATACTAGCTACCATCCTACTTGAATCCAAAGAGGCCCTGAACTTCTTTCTTCAGGATTTTATTAAAAAATAATAAAAACTTATTGGTTGTTTCTGATCTATTGGCTGCCTATGGTGTTATGCAGAGGCGGGCTTTCACTCAGTGCTATTTTGTTTTTGACGAAAGATCAGAGGTTGCTGATTTTCATTGATGAAGAAGAAGTAAAGGTTCAACAATCACAAATGATGATGTTTGGCATCGGCAACCAAAGTATACATACCGGTTAGAAATCATTTAGGAATCCACTACAAATCTGAAGTCAGATTTTTCCCCATGATAAATCAAACGGTAATTATATTATCCGAGGATGGTAAGCTTAGCTGGCGAGCATGGCAAATCCATCTCGGTTCATTTTTTTTCTCTGAAAATTGCCGTGCTGGCAAACGAAATTTGTCATCATCGAGCCAATATAAATTTCTATGAGAAACATTAGATTTGCCATGCCTAAAAGTCTGACGTGGTCTCCTCTCGCGACCGCGTCGCCCCCGCGGGCGACCGGTCGCGCCTCCAGCGCCTCCTCCCCGAGCCCCCCTTTCCCTCTCTCCTTGCCGCCGTCGCTGGCGTCCGGCCGGGCCTGGCCCGGGCGGCGCTGGCGGCGGCGGCCTCTGGCCTTTCCCCTCGCGGGTCGCTCCGACGCGGGGCGGGGCGGTGCCGCGGGGTGCTCCCAGGCGGCGGCGGTCCGGCGCGGCGGCGGTGCTCTCCGGCGTGGTGGCGGGGGATCTTCTGGGCGGCGGCGCTGCCGTTGGCGGCGGGGTGGCGCGGCGATGCGATCTGGCGGCGCCCGCTCGGCCCAGATCTGTGCCCTTCGGGCCCCATCTGGGTCTGGGCGGGCCGGCGGCGGGGAGGGTCGTCGGTGTGGCTTCCGGGAGGCAGGGGAGCGGCGATGAGCGGGTGGATGCTGGCGGCGCTGGTGCCGCCCTGCTGCAGCGTGGCCGGCGGGGCTTTACGGGCCCAAATCGGGCCTGGTCGGGCCAGGGGTGGCCTGGTATGCCCTGCTGCTGCGTCCGGACGGCGACCGCGACGGTGCCGGAGACTTGGGCCTCCCGCACGACTGCGGTGGAGGTAGTTCCCTCCCGCGTGGTTCCGGTGCTGCCGCTCCTGTCGCCTCGTGCGTCTCTCTCCTTCCTCTTGGCCTCGTGGTGGTGATCTCGGTGAGGCGGCGTGGGTGGCGTCAAGACCGCGGTGGCGCATGCTGGTGGGCGGCAAGGTGGCTGGTTGGCTTCGGCCTGGTTGGGCGGTGGGGCTTGGAGTGCGGGAGAAATCCCTTGCCGGCTCTCTTCCGGCTCCGATGCGGTGACACCTACGGTTGCCACCATCCCTTCTTGGAGGGTGTCGGATGTATCCATCCCCCACTTCCTTTCGCGTGCCGGGGGAAACCCTAGGACATGTCCGGGCAGCAGCGTCGTCGACATCGCATCCCTTGCTGGAGGTGCTGCTTGGTACGCGGCGGGTCGGAGCCTGGGTCTGTGGTGGATCAATTTCGAAGGGCGCAGCGGTGGCGGGTCATCCGCGCTTTGTCGAGCTGCCTGTTGGCATTTCTTTCTTCTTCTTTGTTCTTTCTTTTTCATTTGGGCTTGTTGTGCTTCTCGCCCGAGCACTCCTCTGTATCGGTGTTGGTTGCTTTGTAATACAAAGCGGGGGAAACCCTTTTTCGGTAAAAGTCTGACGTTAGATTTTTGGTGTTTTCGATCATTTATGGTGGGTCGATTTTATCATGTCTATATATTAATTGCAAATGCTCTTTACCGTAGAAAACAAGTTATTGCTAGGAAAGTGCAGTCTCAGCTCCGGTTTTAGTATTAGGTACATTTGTATCTAGACAAAATCAAGACAAGAATTTTGGGACGGAGGGAGTACTAGCTAGGAAAATTACATAGTTTTGTAAAAATCTGCAACTCACCTCCATCTCCATCTACCGAGGGTGTCACGCCCGAGGCCGGTGCTGGGAGGTGTAGAAGCGGACTGTCCGAGAATGGAGGATATAGCTCAAACCTGTAGTTGCACCGTAAACCCAGGATCCTTCCTCCCTGCCGCCTGCTGAAGTGCTTCGGCATCACACTTACTATTCCCTCCAGGCAGCTCCGGCAATCGGCCGGTGCCATGTCCGGCGTGCACTGCGCCATCGCATAGATTCTCGGGGTGCTCACGTCGAGGTCCTCTACCCCTGTGCCAAACCGCCTGGATGAGTTCAACGCTGCGTAGTCCGCGACAGCAGCAAGGAGAACACCCACGGCGGCGTCGAACGTTGCGGCCGGCGACGTCACGTTCTCGCCATTGGGCATGATGTGCCGTTTGGTGTTGTCGATGGAAGTCAGGAAGTTCTGGTTGGAGAAGCGGAGGTAGCAGGGGTCGTAGTAGATGGTCACGTCCATGTTGTACGAGCACACCTGCTGCGCGTCCCGGAAGGCGTTGGCGACGCAGTCGCCGCAGGCGGAGGCGTTGGTGGTGTCGCCACGGCAGAGCGAGAGCGCGTACGCGGTGTCCGGGATGGCACCTACGGCGGCGGTAGCGAAGAGGGTGGGAGATGAGGAGGATTCAGTGGGGAGGGTGGTGGAGAGCTGCTTTAGGTTTGATTGGAAGCCGCTGTTCGCCGTGTAGTTCCGGCTGTTGTCGCATTCTTGCCACAGCACGTCGCCGGAGGCGAGCTGTGCAAGGAAGGGGGCGACGAGAATGGAGACGCAGCAGCAGAGTTTGTGGGAGATCATGGTGATAGCTATGGTTAACCTGGACTACTGGTGGTGGTGTGGGTTGAGTTGGAGACAAGAAGATGTGGTCATGTGGGAGTAGGAAGCAAGTTGGCTTGGTGGTAGATCGGGTCACATTTTGTTTTTTCTCTTTTGATTTGACGTTAGATCGGGTCACAGTTTGATTCGAACAAAGGCTACCTGTCGTACTACTCGAGAGAAAAATCATTTATTATTATAACAGGCAGGTCTAGAGAATTAATGCATGGAATATTTTCAGAGGAATACTATGAAGGAGATGAAATATTGGCATCTGTGGCAAGTATCAACATCAAAGAATCAACAGTTCGATTCTATGATCTTTTCTCCTGCGCGCATGCCAGGCAGATAGACGGATCGGCGATAAATTTTGGAAGAGTTGTGTTGACTGTTGAAGTACTAAACTGAATAAGTCATCGTTGCCACCACCATTTCTTCAGAACCTCCATCTTCCAGGTTGTTTCCAACGGAGCTATCGCTTCCACCTGTTAGAAAAGGGAATGTGGCAGCACTTTCCGTTGTCATCCCGGCACTAGTACTTGTTCAAGATCGACTGGACAAACATTTTTCCTAGCAGGAAGAACAAAAGCACACTATACAAAGCGAGAGAAAGCAAATGATGACCGGTGTCATAGTGACCACCAAGCCGAGTCCATACACAAAACAATGTACTCTTTAGGCCTTCCACTACGTAGCCGGTGCCCGACATGTTAAAATATACTCCCTCCATCTCAAAAATAAATGACTCAACTTTGTACTAACTTTGTACTAAATTTAGTACAAATTTGAGTCACTTATTTTATAAAGTTAGTACAAAGGTGAGTCATTTATTTGGGATGGAGGGAGTAGTAGACTGGCCATCGATGCCCTGGTAAATTTATTTGGCACTGGACTCACACCGTGCGGGTGCAGCCCATAGAAAGATGGGACCCACACGTACATAGAAAAATCAAAACAAGTCAACCTTTGGTCAATCCTTCACACGAGTTCCGGAGCTGGCAGCAAGTATAGATAGTAGTATATTTTATTGCAATGCTCAAATGGAGGCATCGAAGCAGGAACTTGCTCTGCTTCTCAGAAAACTTTTTATGGCACCGCATAAGCTATGGAGGGCATTGGTGTCAAATAATGTAAAAGTGAATTTGGCACCTCTTTTGGCCTACCAGGTGAAAGGCCTTAGTGATCTACAAGATCTTACATTAGTTTACAAAAGGGAGTACCATACTACCATGTAAGGAACCAAATTACATGGCTAATGGCATGACAAGGCCTCTTCATCTGCAACACCATTCTTGTAGTTATACCTGGCCGTGGGAAGCCCGGCCCGGCCCGACGCTGCCCCCGGGACGGGCTCGGGCCAAGATTTTGAGCCCGAAGGCCGGGCCGGGCCGGGCCCGGGCCCGTCGTTTTTGCATTTTCCTGAAGGTCGGGCCGGGCCAGCCCAGAGCCTGACGGGCTTTTACGTGTTCGGGCCGGGCTTGGGCCCAGGAAACAGGCCCGATGGCCGGGCCGGACCGGGCCGGACCTGGGTTTTTTGCGTCGGGCTTGGCTAGGCCCGGCCCGAAGCCCGACCCGGCCCGAGGTATGGCCAGGTATACTTGTAGTAGAAAGAATAGAAGCCAATCGCTTGGAACTGAAGTATCAAAGGGAAATCTTGGACCAAAACATTACTGTTGGAACCGAAACCCTAGCCCTAGCTCTCGCTTGCTGATCACCTCTCTCTCTCTCTCTCTCTCTCTCTCTCTCTCTACTGCGCTCGAACGATGGGAAGGAGAAGAGGAAGAATAGAGCAGAGAGCACACGGTGGACAGGACAGGGTTTTTCCCCGCGCACGAACAACGCCGCCGCAACAACGGCTGATTCCCTCAAGCAACAAACTCGAGCCAACACAATTACAACAAGCCCCGCAGGTGCTCTTATACCCTGGGCCGATGCTGGACACGACCCGCACGCCCCCACCCAGTAGAGCCACGACCTGGCCCTCTCTGGCCTTGCCCATGACGCGCACGCACGCGCATGGGTCGCGCCGAGCCTGCACTGGTCTGATCCGATCACACCGCCCAGCTCGCCAACGACATCCTACAACTACGGCGCATCCATGCACGCTCTCACTTGCACTCATGCACCACACACACACGCGCACGCACCCACACACGCTCACCACGGTCCCAGTGCGGTTCCGACCGCACCCAACGCATCCAGCTCGCGCCCTGGACTCGCTCCCCGTAGCTTATTGCCAACACACTCCCCCTAAGCCACAACCTAGAGGAGCCCTGATGACCCACAAGTATAGGGGATCTATCGTAGTCCTTTCGATAAGTAAGAGTGTCAAACCCAACAAGGAGTAGAAGGAAATGACAAGCGGTTTTCAGTAAGGTATTCTGTGCAAGCACTGAAATTATCGGTAACAGATAGTTTTGTGATAAGGTAATTCGTAACGGGTAACAAGCAATGAAAGTAAATAAGGTGCAGTAAGATGGCCCAATCCTTTTTGTAGCAAAGGACAAGCCTGGACAAATTCTTATATGGAGGAAAGCGCTCCCGAGGACACATGGGAATTATCGTCAAGCTAGTTTTCATCACGCTCATATGATTCACGTTTGTCACTTTGATAATTTGATATGTGGGTGGACCGGTGCTTGGGTATTTCCCTTTCTTGGACAAGCATCCCACTTATGATTAACCCCTATTGCAAGCATCCGCAACTACAAAAGAAGTATTAAGTTAAACCTAACCATAGCATGAAACACATGGATCCAAATCAGCCCCTTACGAAGCAACACATAAACTAGGGTTTAACCTTCTTTCACTCTAGCAACCCATCATCTACTTATTACTTCCCAATGCCTTCCTCTAGGCCCAAACAATGGTGAAATGTCATGTAGTCGACGTTCACATAACACCACTAGAGGAGAGACAACATACATCTCATCAAAATATCAAACGAATAACAAATTCACATGACTACTTATAGCAAGACTTCTCCCATATCCTCAGAACAAACGTAACTACTCACAAATCATATTCATGTTCAAAATCAGAGGGGTATTGATATGCATATAGAATCTGAACATATGATCTTCCACCGAATAAACCAACTAGCATCAACTACAAAGAGTAATCAACACTACTAGTGACCCACAGGTACCAATCTGAGGTTTTGGGACAAAGATTGGATACAAGAGATGAACTAGGGTTTGAGAGGAGATGATGCTGGTGAAGATGTTGATGGAGATTGACCCCCTCCCGATGAGAGGATCGTTGGTGATGACGATGGCGGCGGTGTTTCTTCCCGAAAGCTTGCTTATGATTTTTTCCAGGGTAAAAGACTTCATATAGCAGAAGATGGTCACCGGAGGCCTGCCAGGGGGCCCACGAGGCAGGGGGCGCGCCAAGGGGGGTAGGGCGCAGCCCCACCCTCATGGCCAGGGTGTGGGCCCCCTCTGGTATTTTCTTCGCCCAGTATTTTTTATTAATTCCAAAAATAACTTTCGTGGAGTTTCAAGACTTTTGGAGTTGTGCAGAATAGGTCTCTAATATTTGCTTCTTCTCTAGCCCAGAATTTCAGTTGTCGGCATTGTCCCTCTTCATGTAAACCTTGTGAAATAAGAGAGAATAGGCATAAGTATTGTGACATAACGTGAAATAACAGTCCATAATGCAATAAATATTGAGATAAAAGCATGATGCAAAATGGACGTATCAACTCCCCCAAGCTTAGACCTCGCCTGTCCTCAAGAGGAAGTCGACATCGAAAAATATGTCCACGTGTTTAGAGATAGAGGTGTCGATAAAATAAAATACGGACATGAGGGCATCATGATCATTCTTATAACAGCAACATATATATATATATATATATATATATATATATATATATATATATATATATATATATATATATATATATATATATATATTGTCATATGGTTTCTTATGCTCAAGTAACAATCTATTCACAATGTCAAGTATGAATCAGAAACTTCATTGAGAACCAACAAACTATGATCTCGTTCATTGAAGCAATTGCAATTTATCATAACATCGGAAAGAGTCAGTATAAGAGCTTATCAGCAAGTCCACATACTCAACTATCATTTAGTCTTTCACAATTGCTGACACTCATGCAATACTTATGGGTAATGAAGTTTTAATCGGACACAGAGAAAGATAGGGGCTGATACGTCTCCAACGTATCTATAATTTTTGATTGTTCCATGCTATTATATTACCCCTTTTGGATGTTTATCGGCTTTATTTCACACATTTATATCATTTTTGGGACTAACCTACTAACCGGAGGCCCAGTCCATATTGTTGTTTTATTGCCTGTTTCAGTATTTCGAAGAAAAGGAATATCAAACGGAGTCCAAACGGAATGAAACCTTCGGCAAAGTTATTTTTGGGACAGAACCAATCCTAGGAACTTGGAGTGCAAGCCATGGGATCATCGAGGAGGCCACAAGACAGGGGGCACTCCCAACCCCCTGGGCGCGCCCTACCCTCTCGTGGGCCCCTCGAGGCTCCCCCGACCGACTTCTTTCGCATATATAAGCCTACGTACCCTAAAAACATCGATGGAGAAGATATATCGGGAGTTCCGCCGCCGCAAGCCTCTGTAGCCACCAAAAACCTCTCGGGAGCCCGTTCCGGCACCCTGCCGGAGGGGGGATCCCTCACCGGTGGCCGTCTTCATCATCCCGGCGCTATCCATGATGAGGAGGGAGTAGTTCACCCTCGGGGCTGAGGGTATGTACCAGTAGCTATGTGTTTGATCTCTCTCTCTATCTCTCTCTCGTGTTCTCTCTATGGCACGATCTTGATGTATCGCGAGCTTTGCTATTATAGTTGGATCTTATGATGTTTCTCCCCCTCTACTCTCTTGTGATGAATTGAGTTTTCCTCTTGAAGTTATCTTATCGGATTGAGTCTTTAATGATTTGAGAACACTTGATGTATGTCTTGCCGTGCTTATCTGTGGG